CTAGACTGAGGCTAGGCAGTGCTTTGTGAGGGCAATCTCAGTGCATTATATAGGTATCGCTCGACTCTGTGCGATCAAAAACTCTCCATTACTTCACTGAACTCTAGCGAGCGTATTAACCCTTATGATCATTCACTCGTAGACCGCGGACCAACCGACGTAATAAAATGCCCACGAATCGCGTGCGGATTAGTTTCTCGGTTTTCGTACTATTAATTGCCACAAACTAGTAAGCTCATAGAGTTCATCTGTTTGGAGACTCTTCATGATCTGTATCACCTGTGCTCCCGTTGATCATCGAGTTCCTCGAGCGGGCGCCAGTAACGTCTCCATTCGTCCCTGCAACGTGCAAGAGTTGCCCAATGGGTTCTCTCTGCTCGAGGGACACGATGAACTTCATACCATTCGTTCAGAGCTTTCACGAAGAAGTCTGACCATCGCGTAGGCGGTCGTCCAGGCGTTCGCTTGACATCCCGTGGAATCCAGTCGGTGATCTTTCTGGTCTAGCGGTCGTCTTCAGAACGCATGACGGAGTGCTGAGCTCCGGATTCCCTCTGTCACTTGCGTGTAGCGGAGAACCTTGAATAGCTCTGCGACGCGGTGAATGACGCAACCTCATGCCCATCCTGTTTTTTTAGAGTCCAAGTTCCGAGGCATAAGTTAAAGCAGGAAGGACCGCGGAATCGAAGAGGTGGGCACAAAGCCTGGTGTTCTTCGTCTTCTTCGCTACTCCCTCGATGTTCTTGAAAGCTTCCCAAGCCGCTCGCTACCTCCTGCGCTTCCTCCCGCTTCTTTTTTCTATGACGCGTTGAATGTCGCTGACCGTATGTTCATCCTCACGAGATACGAAGCAAGGTTTCGACTCGTTTCCATAAGACGTGCTATCTTATAACTTACTTCAGTTGACTATAATATAAACGACCGCGTTGTGCGCGGCACAGTGTGCTCAGGCCAGTCCATTTTATGGGTTTTCGGATTGCTGACACTGTGTTCATGAAGAGGAGCATAGCACCTGTTAAAAGATTAGAGCATAAAAGAAATAGGTTCTGATAGAGAGGCACCAAGGAGATAGTGATCCTTAGTTTATGTATAAATGTGCTAAATATACAATGTAAAGTGGTCGAGATCTCCAAACAGTGGCAACCTCGACAAAACTTGCTATCCTTTCTTGAACGTCGTAAACGATCCACGAAACGCACATGTAGTTCTGCATTGCCACTTTTATTTTTCATAACTAATCGAATGCCAAACAACTAAACATATCTATACTGGTAAGTGAATGTAGACTGGAGGTAGGTGCTATAAGTGATCACTGGGGTTGGATTGATCTTGCTTGGTAGAATTTGATTCAGCTGTCCAGGACAACAGATTCTGTAATGCAAAGAATATTCTTCTGTAAAGGGGTGGATGATAGTAGACGAAAAGTAGATTCTTAACAGGCAGTTAGTTTCTTTTTCTTTTCGGAATTACGTCTGTACACTGATAAGGGTTCCCGATCTAAAATTCTGTCGCTGATCCTTCAGTGATGCGCCATGCGTTGGGCTCTCATTTACAAACTCATGGAAATTTCCGCTGAACTCATGTTTTATGAAAGCTAAGCAGAACCACTCCAAGATATTCGACTGAAAGGGGTTCCACATGAATAAGATGGACGAAGTAGTGAAGGAAGCTCCCGGCATTGATCAATTCCCTTTCTAGTAGGCCACGAATACTACTTCCATTCAGAATCGTACTGATTTAGTGCCTGCTATGTGACCTATATAATGGTCTGGGAGACAAGCAAATGGAAAACTACCTGTTCTTAACTTTCCACCCAAATCGTACCAAGTATACCGCAGCCTGAACTCAATGGTGCGGCTGGCTTTCGGGAAAGGATTGCAATGTCGTTTGCGCCGGCGACGTCAAGCGGCTCCAGTGTTGTATATGGGTAACTGGGACTCAGTTTTCAATCTTTGAGCTCGGACAACTTGTGCGTAACATCTCGGAAGTTTTCAATCTTTGAGTTCGGACAACTTGTGTGTAACATCTCGGATTGAGATGGGGCCGTGGCAATGATGTAAGTACCTAGGGACAGGTCGTAAAATGGATGCATCTGGTGATATCCCTAGGTGTATCCTTAGGTACTTGTGGTT